GTGAGTAGAAAAAAATCAACCTTCTGCAGCTGGCCTGTGTGACCCAACCAGATAAATCCCGTCAGCTCAACACATTATCACCAAAATTGAAGAGGTTGAGATTAATGTCAGAGACCATAGGCTTCTGACTTACCACAATGCAGCCACCTTTGGCTGTTGGGAAGGAGACAAATGAGAATGGGGAGATCTCCTTATATACTTGTATAAGCCTTATGTCACTGCATCCCATCATCTCACTTTCTAAGCACCTTTTATTCTATTCTGTCCAGTCAGTGGTTGCCTTCCTATAGTACCTGTGCGTGTGGCAGACTCAGGGAAGCACAAGCTGGGTAAGGTTCACATGGGTATGATGTTATTCGTCCCTAATAAGATAACCTGGTAACTGTACCACGTCACAAGAATAGTTAGGAATCCACTTGGTGTTACTGTCTGGAACAGAGCCTGAGCTTGCTGAAATTGCCAATCCACCACTCCAGTATTTGGCAGTAGCTGTGGCTGCTGCATACAGGCCCTTGTGTGCAGTGCAAGGGGCTGCACTGAGCTTGCTTTGCTTGGGACACTCAGGTTGCTGGTTGGGAGGTGCTGCCCAGGGCGTGCTTCCTTTTCAGAAGCTTTATTGACACTTTTTCTCACCAGAATCTGAGTATCTAAAATCATAGTAATGGAGGTCGTGGACAAATTAATTCTGAGAGTTTGCATGACATAAATCAGCTTTTGAATATCATTGAGCAGCAGTTTTTGAACTAGTTGAAATGATGAAATGTTATATTTGTACGATGTTTAGTATGTTACAGGTCACTGATCATTTATCAAACAGTTACAGATACCCATTTTGTAGATACTGAAGTGCTTTTGGAAGGTATTTCATGGATTTTAATTGAGGAGAGGGTTCTCACAAGATTAGAGTGATAGAAAGAAAATGTTGATTGTTGAGAATGAAAGAACCTCAGATGTCCCAAGTGGCTTCACCCAATAAAAAAATGAATCATCATTTCAGCATCTTGCTAAAATGTTTTCTTGCATTACCCGTAACCAGCTGAGCACACGTAACTTCACAAGCAGGAGCAGGTTTGTGTGGCTGCATAAACTTGTAGTCACACTTGCAGCATGAACTCTTTTGATATTTTAAAAGCTGGATAGAAGACCGAACAACTCCTAACGTCTGAACAGACAAAGTTTGGCTTAAGTCACCACACTGCTTTGGTAATACTGGTTTTCCTCATTAGAATTGCTATCTGATGCAACCTAAATACACTGTGGTATTTAAGCTAAAGTGGTGTGAGTAATTCAGTTAATTAATTAGCTGCAGGTAGCGCTTACGTTCCCTTGTGAAGGGATCAAAGGAGAACACTAAATAACATTTATTTTCTTGTTCTGCTCCATAGCAGTCAGTTCATTCAAATAACCTTATGACCCAAATGTTAATATAACTTATTATATTACCTTATGCTTTGGTGAACATTTCCACTCTGCGTAGTGATTATGACTGCTGGAACTCAACACATGCTGCTTTGGAGTGACTGAAAGTGGACAGAGAAATGGCATATGACTAAGAAACGCCTAAACAGCTCTAAGTCCCCATCCTTTTCCTACAAATTTATTTTCTTCTACCCTTGCCCTGGGATTTGCAGTACAACTACTGCATCGGGAAAGCTGAAATGGGGAGTTTGGTCCACAGAGGGACACAGGCCTTGAGCAGTTATCAGTGTGAGCATGCCCAGCTGAAGGAACTTTAATTGACAGCGACTGGGAGCATTAATTCATACAAGAATTTGAATTGGAGTTTGTGGATGCTTTTGTTTTTGTTTGTGGTCTTTTGCCTTGTAACTTGCGTGGTTCAGCATTAGGGACTTCTTACAAAGAAGAATAAAAGTCTGTTTTCCCTTGACTTGACTCTGCATCCCAGAGGGATTTAAATTAGAGAGGTTTGTTCTACTACCAGACTATTAGCAGAACTCTCCCTTTGTTGAAGGTGTGATGCAATGTGTGAGATTAAATAAGGTAAAATAAAATGAAGATCTAAGTAATTAGATTGCATGTGGACACTGAATGTTTTCATCTGTGTGCTAACGGTCTTCACTTAAATCACTGTTTTGTGATTTGAGGCATTAAAAAAGGCCTGAGCCCTTCTGAAGCTGTTAGTTAGCCATACTGCATATCTACGTTTGCAGAGAGGAGGTTCAGTTTTCAGTTTGTTGTCATTTGGGCTTTGATTTATTTGTCTGTGGCCGTGCTGTGGTGTAAAGGGAATTAAATTATCGCATTGTAATAAATACATTTTTTTTTTTTTTCTTTTGATGTATTATCATCTTGAGCCACTTAATACAATGTAAAGCCATTTGGGATTTAAAAAGACAACAAGAAATGAGGCTTTATTAAATTCACGGAATCCTTTGCCTAATATATTGTTCCACTTTAACGATTTCACTACTCGACATGACTGAGGCTTGTTTCATGTTTTCATTCAGTTTGACAAATGACAGTGCTATGCACATCATGAGAAAGAAAGTCTTTTAGAACACCAGCAGTGGTAACATAGAATTTGATGCACAGATGGCTTGGGCTTCATCTGTAATGGAAGGATCTTTGCGTCGTCTCTCAGCTTACTCTGCAGGCCTTTGTGTAGGCATGTGTGTGACCAAACCTTTGCTATGGGTGTTTGTGTGTTGGTGAAGTGACCTTCATCTTGATGTTAATGTTTCCTTCTGTTTAATGTTCTTCAAAGAACAGAGCTTTCTTTCAACTGAAGGCCACAGCAGATCCACGTGTGTGTGTGTGTGAAAGACCTGTCAGCCTGACATCAGTGCCAGGGAAGGTCATGGCACAAATCCTCCTGGGAGAGATCACACGGCTCGTGCGCAACATCCACGGGATCAGGCCCAGCCAGCATGGGTTCATGAAAGGCAGGTTGTGTTTGACCAACCTCATCTCCTTCTATGACTGGGTGACCAGACTGGTAGATGAAGGAGAAGCTACTGATGTAGCCTACCTAGACTTCAGCAAAGCCTTTGACATGGTCTCTCACAGTATCTTTCTGCAGAAACTGGCTGCCTGTGGCTTGGACAGTTTTACCCTCTGTTGGATGAGGAACTGGCTGGAGGGCCGTGCTCAATGGGTTGTGGTCAATGGAGTGAAGTCTGTTTCAAGTGGTGTCCCCCAGGGGTCGGTGCTGGGGCCCATCCTGTTTAATATCTTCATTGATGACTTAGATGAAGGGATTGAGTGTACCCTGAGTAAGTTTGCAGATGACACCAAGTTGGGAGGTGGCGTAGATCTGCCTGAGGGCAGGGAGGCCCTGCAGAGGGATCTGGATAAGCTGGATTGCTGGGCTGAGGTGAATGGGATGAGGTTTAACAAGGCCAAGTGCCGGGTTCTGCACTTTGGCCACAACAACCCCATGCAGCGTTACAGGCTTGGGGATGAGCGGTTGGATGACTGTGAAGAGGAAAGGGACCTGGGGGTGTTGGTTGATGCTTGGCTGAACATGAGCCCACAGTGTGCCCAGGTGGCCAAGAGGGCCAACGGCATCCTGGCCTGCATTAGAAATGGTGTGACCAGCAGGAGCAGGGAGGTGATCATCCCCCTGTACTCAGCACTGGTGAGGCCGCACCTCAAGTACTGCATTCAGTTTTGGGCCCCTCGCTACAAGAAAGACATTGAGGCCCTGGAACGTGTTCAGAGAAGGGCAATGAAACTGGTGAGGGGTCTGGAGCACAGGGCTTATGAGGGGCGGCTGAGGGAGCTGGGATTGTTCAGTGTGGAGTAGAGGAGGCTCAGGGGAGACCTCATTGCACTGTACAACTTCCTGAAGGGAGGCTGTGGTGCAAAAGGGTCTGGCTTCTTCTCCCAGGCAAATAGTAGGACCCAAGGAAACTGCCAGAAGTTATACCAGAGGAGGTTTAGGTTGGACATTAGGAGAAACTTTTTCTCTCAGAGAGTGGTCAGGCACTGGAATGGCTGCCCAGGGAGGTGGTGGAGTCGCCGTCCCTGGCAGTGTTCAGAGGCGTCTGGGTGATGTGCTGTGATATGGTTTAGTAGCTTGTGGTACTAATAGGAATGGGAGGGTGGTTGGACCAGATGATCTTGCAGGTCGTTTCCAACCTTGCGATTCTGTGATTCTGTGAAAGGGACGGCTGGCTCCCATGGTTTGCTCCTGGAACTCTGGTCTCCATTCCAGAAGTTAAAAAGAAAAATGCAAAAGTGGAAGGTGGAGGCACGTTGAGGGCTGGTGGTTTTCACACAGGTGTTTTTTGGTCTGCAACATCAGTAAATATTGAGCTGTATTATATTCAATATTTCAGTAGGCAAAACAAAGCTACTGTATGCCTGACCTTCATATAACATGGCTGAGTCATTGGTATGTGTCCTATATGTGGGAAACTTTGAAACATATGCTAAATCATTGCCTGTAATATTGGCTGTAGAGGCAAAACTAGATGCATAGTAGTTGAAAATCTCATTGACTTAATTGAGATACAAGGAGGTATTGCAAATACCCATCCATGCAATCAACTCTGAACTTGCAGCAGTGTACACACAGGGTTAACATTAGGCTTTTATGCAAGTTCTTGCCCAAATCAGGCTTCCCAGTTTGTGTAAATCACTTTTGCTCAGTCTCCAGCCATATAGACCGCTGTAGGGAAGGAAGGGGGTGAGAACAATTTGCTTCTATTCCAGTGTGGACCATCTCAGTTTGTGTTGTCTTCAAGAAATTGCAGTGTTGGATCCAGCTAGAAATGACTGCTATTTTGTCATATCACTACTGCGTTTTATCAGGAAGTTCCGCTGTGGGTTACAGGCTCCTCTTGAAGCCTGATGTTCAAGAGCTCTTCACCAGAAACATCAGTGCTATTGAAGGGAAACGGATCTTCTTACGAGTCAATTTCAAAACAGATGCTGGCGGGGCAGTCTCCAGTTGGTTTTATGTTCCTCTTACAGTGCACGCTTCCTCATGGTAAATTCCTTAACGTAGAGGAGGGTAACTAAGATAGCAGAATATATTTATTTTAATAAGAGCTTTAATGAACTTCAGGAACATGGTTGCAGAACAACGTTGTAAAAGCACTGTTACCTTGTACACACTGACCTCGGTCCTGCAAACAATTACTCTTGGCCATGTGTGTGCTGTGAAATGCATATGGATGTGTCACAGAGAGCGAGCTTGTGGTAGTTTGGAAAATCAGAAAGGTTCACAGAGGGGTTCTGCGACAGTGCTGAAGCAAAGCACTCCTCCCCAGAATCCTGCAGAGAGAGAAGCTTTTCTCTCTGCCACCGGAGCTGGATGGGAGAAGAGTGGCTTTGTGCCGGGATGGGGCAGCGCTGCGGGCTGACATGGCCGGCCACGGGCAGTGACAGGCGCCGTGCCTCGCCGGGCCGTCATCCCTGTGCTGTCTCTCCCTGTGCAGCTGGCAGTGCCGCACAACGACGAATGGACGCGCTTCGCTCGGACCCTGGTGGAGATCCGCGCCAACCGGGCGGACAGCGAGGAGGAGGGGGCGGTGGAGCTGGCGGCATAGAGGAAGAGGAGGAGCGGCCTTCCCTGCTGTCGTGCTGTGGCTGCCGATGCCAGCGTGCGTGCCAGTACTGCTCAGAGCATTCCATGCTAATCACACGGCTTTACACGGGGCTGAAAAAATCCAGAGCATTTTCATACTTTATATTTCTGTCTGAAAGGTAAGAAAGAAAAGACAAATCAACCCTTTATGGGTTTAGTTGTTGCCTTTTAACTACTTAGTAGCCGTATTTAATGGGTAGGAACCCCTGGTTAAACTTGTGCTCACATTGCCCTTCTGGCGTAGTCCTATTAAATCCATATGAAGCCAGATATGATTATGTGCAGATGTGGTGTGCTTCACTGTATGGGACTGGGCCAAAGGCTTTAGATGTGGTGTTTCACATGGTGACTTACATTATGAATGGATGTACTATACGAAAGTTGCTGCTCCTTATTTATTGCGGTGTGCTGCATGGAACATATTTATTTGAAAGCATTAAAATAAACGATCCTAAAGCATGTGCATAATGAGAGAACTGCATTGTCTGTGTGCTGCTGTAGAGGTTACATTAAAGTCCACGTAACAATTACAGTGCATCAGTTGTGCTTAAGATGTAAGATCTATAAAGGTTGGCTTGAGTGGATGGAGTGCGTTTCCTTTCCTCTTTTTAAGACGCCCATTATTTCTAGGCACTTTAACAATATTTCAAATACAGTTGGTCACTGATACTTGTCATGCAAGTTAACACTAACAGTCTGACAAAGGGTTGTGGTTCCCGAGTATGACACTAGCGTTGCCAATAAAATGTATCCAGCCTGTTCTGTTGCAGTGTGGTTAATCCTTCCCTGCCAGCAGCGCTCAGCACATTCATTACTGGGCACTGGGAAGCGGGGCTTTGCCTGCTTGCAGAGCACTACTGCAGCTGCTGTGTGAGCACACGGAGGTGCAGGACTGGCCAGCCTTGGTGCAACAGATTCTCTGCAGCTGTTACAGAACAAACTAATCCATGCCAGCTTCTAGGTTTGGTTTCCTCCCCAACCCTACTGTGCATGGTTACCTGCACACATAACAGCACTGTGCTGCTGTATGAATGAGAAGAAAAGGAATAAGGAAAAAAGGAGACAAGGGAACATTCTACTTTACAAGGAATTCATGGCCAGCGCAAGGCAGCAGGGCACAGGCTGAGGGATGTGGCAGGCTGCTGGCAGCACAGCATTGCAGTGTCCCCTGGGCAGACAGGTGAGCCATCACAGCAGGAAGCACTGAAGTCAGGCAGTAACAATTCTGTGCGTTCCCAGGGAAGCACATCTCCATGCAGTCCAGGACTGTATTGGCTAATGCCATCCAGGGCCAATCACATTCTGAACCATGGGCTGGGTTCCTCAGATTGGGATTTCACATCCCTATGCCTGCAGACACAGGACCTGAAACAGTGCACAGTGATGTCAGCTATCAGAGTCAGCCCTATGGAGGTACACACACGCATGCACGTGTCCATCAGAGCCTGTTACGGGCCAAGGGCGCTCTGCCCATCACCCTTGCACAGCAAACCCACACCCAAGAGTGTGTACCTGTATGGGAACTGCTGGGTCATGGCCTGAACCTGTGATTGAGCACCTGAGGAGAGCGCTGAGTCAGCCACAGGAGCACAGGTGAAGGCAATTCTCCTGTGCTGCTGGAAGGGGTGGAGCCTGGCTGCACCTCTCCTAGACCTATTTAAGAGCTGGCTACCAGTGGGGAAGGATCTCGTCTGGAGATCCACTCTGGTGGAGTTCCGTAAGTGAGCCCAGGATACAGGTAAGCTTTCTATCCCTTTTCTTTTTGTTACTATAATCTGCTTTGCCTAACTCTCTTGTTTATTTTGTAATTATAATAACTTAATATTCATCGATTATACAGTACCCAACATGGGTGCAGTGGGAAAGGGCTCAACCCCAGTCTGTTTCCTGTGCATTGTAAGCTGTGCACTGACAGCAGTAACTTTGCTTCTTTGTTTCCACATTACCTTCAGTTTTTGGAATCAAAGTGAGGGGAAGTTCCATAATACCATGCAGAAGAACTTCCTTATGGTAAGGGTGATGCAGACTGGAACAGGCTGTCCAGCTGCAGAGCCCCTTCTATGGAGATATTCAAGACCCATCTGGATGCCTACCTGTGCAACCTATTGTAGGGTACCTGCCTGAGCAAGGGTTGGACTCAATGATCTCTAGAGGTCCCTTCCAACCCCACGACTCTATGAAGTACTCACTGCCCACACTGCCTCTGTGCATTCTTAGCTCATAAAGTGGCCTCAAGATGTGCCTCAGAAGCGCTGCACATTTCCACAGAGCAAAGCCCAAAGGGCTGACAGCGCGTGCAGCAGAGGCTTGGACAACCTTGAGCGTGAGAAGCATCCAAGGCCTGAGTATCACAGCAGCGCTGGTGTGGCCACATCGTGTGCTGCAGAGGCACTGATTCTCACACCATGCTGGGGCACGGCGCTGTGCTCAGCCATTGCCCGGCGCACAGCAGAGGTGGCCCAGGTGGCCCTGTCTCCTAAGTCAGACGCAGAGCAGTTTGTCAGATAACCTATTTTTAGCAGGTTGAGAGAAACCTGCCCAAGTTATTTAGGAAGCCTGTGGTACGTATGGTCAGGACAGCATCCCCAGTCAGTCTTAAGGAACTTAAGCCAAACCCCCTTTCTCAGGGACAGGCAGAAAATCCCTCAGCTCCTGCTGGGCACACAAACAGGAACAGAGGTGGCTGCCTGAGATGCCCCCAGTAGGGAACATCATCAGTATTAGAGCAGCTCTCTTTTTGGCTGACTCAGTGGGATGCGGCTGGGCTGCAGGAAACAAACAAGGTTACCTTTTATCCCATTCTTTCCAACACTTTGCGTAACTCACCCAGAAACTCAAAGACAACAAACGTCTCAACATCCCTGGGGCCTTATGTTCGTAAGGCAATCTGACAATTTCTTGGCCTGTAAGCTTTTCAGAACTTTTGCATCCTTTTGTGTTTGGAGGAAGCTGACAGCACACAGCCAGAAGATCTCTGGACAGAACTGCTCTGAGTATCATTAGCTGGGCCACGCATCAGAGAGGCCATCACAGACTCACCAACATTCTGTCCCTGCTAACAGAGATGCGTCCTGGCTGCAACAGTCCAAGACATCCCATCCCCAGACCGCATCAGAAGCGAGTGGCTGCCACCTGGATGTGCACACCTAGGCAGGCACTGACCCAAAAGCACAAAAGAACAGCTCAGCACTCAGATGTTTTCCGAGAGCTGCTGCTTTCCCGTGGAAATTCTTGACAAGGTAAGTCAGGCAAAAGCAAGCGATTAATTGGAAAAACAACTCCTAAATTGCCTAAAAATCTCCAGTGTCAAACGCAAGCAGCTCCCAGAGAAAAAGTTTAACTTTTGTGACAAGACTTAACAAAAAACCATGACAGTTAACTTTGGAGAAACACAAAAGCAGGCTTTTTACCCATTTTCGAAACAAAGGAACTGTCATTTTGGAAGACTTGAATAGATGAGGCCGAGAGGTTGCAGCCAACAGCTGCCCTGTGCTCTCTGCACAGTGCAGCCCAACTCGGAGGTACAGCTGCTGCTAAGTATTGTCTCCCCCTCACCTTCAGGTGTGCGAGCACTGCAGGCTGCTATTCTCATGCCTTACTTCACTGACAATTTTGAAATACAGTTTAGTTGAAGTAAATAATTTTGATGACGACCCAAACACAAATGCAATATAGCAATTTCAGTATTTCAACAAATAGCAATAAAACACAGTATTACCCACCTAGTTCTTCTGCAAAGATACTGCATCCAGGCATTTTCTCAGTTTAGAAGCTGTGCTGAAGCCAGCACTTCCCATCTTCCAAAAGAAGAAAAGCATTCTTCTGTAAACACTAAATTCTTGTCTTAAGAGGTAGCACAGCAATAACTTCTATTGGCCAGGTGCTCAGAATAACACAGGTCTAATGGCTTCTATGACAGGGTTATAGCATTGGTGGAAAAGAGAAAAGCAGCTGACATCATCTATCTGGACTTGTGCAAAGAAAGCATTTGATAGTGTATTGCACAACATCCTTGTCTCTAAATTGAAGATATGTGGCTTTGACAGATGGATCACCTGGTAGGTAAGGAATGTGCTGGATGGTCGCACTCACTGTGGTCGCACTGTGGTCACTGGCTCAATGTTCAGGAGACCAGTGATCAGTGGCGTTCCTCAGGGGTTGGTATTGGGATCTGCACGGTTTAACATCTGTGTCTGTGACACAACAGCAGGATTGAGTGCACCTGCAGCGAGTTAGCAGATGACAGCAAGCTGCATGGTGCAGCTGACAGGCTGGAGGGAAAAAATACTATCAGATGTACCTGGACTGGCTTGAGAAGTGGGCATGTGCAAACCTCATGAAGTTCAACAAGGCTCAGTGCAAAGTCCTACACCTGAGTTGCATCAATCCCAAACATGAATTCAGGCTGGGAGGAGAATGGATTGAGAGAAGCCAGGAGAAGGTTAGAGGTTTTGGCTGATAAGAAGCTCACCATGACAAGCAGCGTGCACTTACCAGCCCAGAAAGCCAACCACATCCTGGGATGCATCAAAAGAAGCGTAACTATCAGGGCAAGAGAATCGAGTGTCACCTGTTTGCTCCACTCTTGCACGGCCTCACAGCACTGCATTCAGCTCTGAGGCCATAGCTACAGACGTGGAGCTGCTGGACAGAACTTCTTGAGGAGGTCAGGAGAACGAGGGCTGGAGCAGCTCACCTATGGAGACAGGCTGAGGGAGCTGGTCTTGTCTGGCTTGGAGAAGAGGTTCTGAGGAGACCTCACTGTAGCTTTCCAGTACTTAAAGGGGGCCTACAGAAAAGCTAAAGAAAGACTTTTTTACAAGGGCCTGAAGTAATAGGACAAGGAATGACAATTTTAAATGGAAAGAAGGGAGATTTAGATAGATGTTAGGATGTAATTCTTCCCTCGGAGGATGGTGAGGTGCTGGCACAGACTGCCCAGAGAAGCTGTGGATGCTCCATACCTGAAGTGTTCAGGGCCAGAGATTGGATGGGGCCCTGAGCAGCCTGATTTAGAGGAAGGTGTCCCTGGCCACGATGGGAGAAGATTGGAACTAGGCGATCATTAAGATCCCTTCCAGCTCAGTCCAAGCCAGTCTGTGATTCTACGACTATAAAAAGAAAAAAAAAGAAAAACAGAAAAAGCAAGCAGAAAGGCCTACTTCAATCCTGCTTTTTGACTGAAGAAAAATGTCTTTTTTGTACGACATCTACACCAATGCGTCTTTTCTATGCACACGGATACAGGTAATTTCGTTCTCAAACTGCAGATGTTTTTATAGCCCAAACACCTAAATATCAGCTTTAACTTAAATTTATAAATGAAGTTGAACAAGCCTTTGGATGTACTATCCCATTTCCATAACAGAATACCACGTGTGCATCTGTTTGAAAGGTTTATTACTATCTTCATAAATACATAATTTTCTAAACACTGTGCAAGGCACCAAAAAATTAAGTAAAATCTTTTCTTTTAGAGTATTTTAATCTCTGTAGACTCAATGAAGTAAATAAGAATCTGAAACCACCTATTTGCCAATTACAAGCCAGCAGTTAAGGCAGGTACCATTGATACAGTGCATGAATTTTCTATTGCAGCTATTTAAACAAGCAGCGTTTTACTAGAGTGCATATACAAACTGAATTCCAAACACCAGCAACCCAAGATAGGCACCTAGTATGAAATTTCCTTGTACGTGTAGTAGAATGCCAAAAGTACTGCCATAAAGTGCAAAGACTATGGACAATAACACTTTCTTTTGAGCATTTTGATACTAGTAACATAATACAACGGCTAAACATTTATAAATGTGGTTTCCATTACAAAAACATGTTCCACATAAAAGCTTCATAACACAATCCAGAAACAGAACTTGTGCGTGTACGGATTTAAAAAGTCAAAGCTGTACTGGCAGACTTAGGTACCAGGGGAGTATCTGCTGACCTCTACAGACACGCACTAAGTTGAGAACCAATTCACAGGTGCACTCAAACTCATTCTGCTTTGAGCACCGTGATATCCACTGAGTTTTTCTGCCATTTGAGCGACAGTGTGTGACA